TTGAAAGCTTCCCAGCTTCCAGAACGGCTTCTTTCGATCCTCCGCCTCTTTCATTTCAGTCATCAGTTGTTGGCACTGTAGTCCTTCAGTGTCAAGTCAGTCAGCTAGTCAGTCTCAGCATATATCGAGCATCGGTCGGAATTACCTTCATGATGGCCACTGTACACTTGTTGCCACCAGTCTGTCACCGCATGACAGCTGCCTTTTTTCAACACTGCTTCAATCAGCTCTTCAACCAGAGAAGAGCGCAGCCTGCATACCGCAAGCTATGACGAGTGACGAGAATGTATCGAGTACTGGCATGCAAGCTATGCAAGAGCATACAGTAGGCTACTATTATACAGTAGAAGCTACATTATACAGTGGAGTACAGCAGCCTATACATCCAGCATTCCGAACTCCGCTCAGCTGTCCGCCCAGTCCATATCGCCGGGTGAGCCAGGCAGACCGGCAAACGGATGACGGATCGGAACGCGTTCCCTGTGGAAACTATTTTTTTTCTGTACAGCCAACAGCCAACAAGCAGGTCTGTTCCGACAAGCGTTTGACAGAAGATTTCCGTTGTCAAGCAGCGAGCAGTTTCGTTCAATGCCGACTCGAACCACGTAAAAGAGATATTCCACGATGATCTCCTATACCTCGTCCCATTTCAGAAAGCATCCTTTGTGTTGTCATGCTAGAGCATGAAACGCGCATTGTTCTTGAATGAAACGCCGGCGAGTTCCGCGGGCAACGCACAGACAATAGACAATAGAGGACGGGATTCCTCAAACGCGCTCGGATGGGGGGGCATGCATGGCAAAGTTACAAAGCTGACTGTTGTTCACGTAGCAAAGCGCATGGGAAGCAAAGAGTAGACACATTTCACATCTGAGTCGCAAGACTGCGCGACGTCTTAAGGAGACTCTTTATTTAGCCAGAGGCGATCCACCCAGATACCCTCGCGACACGCTCATTTCAGCACAAATTCCCTCAGTATCGGCACGACTTTGAACGACCACTCCTACTCTTCACGGGACACCCGGTTCCTCACGACCCTATACGTTCCTTTCATTCCGACTCCTTGAGATTTCACGATACCCAACGACCAAACGACCAAGTGACTGTGACGACTGTATATACACGACCGGTACCACGCAGCGCCAGAGCCAGTAACAAAGCTTCCGTAAAAAAAGAGATCGTGATCGAACACCCATTACGCACTCCGCTGACTGCACAACACCGGCATTCATTCATTCATTTGCTTGCTTTGCTTGTGTTTTCCCCGTTCCCGTTTTGGCTCGCCGCGGAGACACACAGAAAAAGGGTGAGTGGCTCTCTGTTTTGGGTCGCGCGTGTTACACCGCCTCGATTATTTCATCTCATGTCATCTTCTACCTTGCTCTTGTCATCACCTGCTGACTCTTTCCCACGATCTTCGAACACCTTCCTGGCATAGCATCTTCCCCTCACACCTCGACGGCTATTCATATACTCTCTCTTCGCCGTCACCTTCGATACCCACCGCTCGAGCATCTTACTATTTGCTCACCGACCTAGGACATTCCCCGTATCGTCCTCGCTCGTTGTTTGGCGCTTTTCATTCCATCGTTCTCATACTCACACGGTAACAACAGCATCCAGCTCATATTGTCAGTTGACCAGTACTCTCTCTTTCCGCTTGATCAACACTCTTCGACATTCGACGACGCTTTACTCGTTACGATCTATAATTCAACCGACGGACACTTTTTCTTACTCTCATAGCAATAAACAACAATCGATATCGTGATCGTTCCACTTTATCACCTTAAACCTTCATTCGCTCTTCCACCTTTCATACCAAAACACAAATACATAAATACAATATGAAGACGTCAACGTTTACCGTCACGACGGCCCTCGCTGCCATCGGTGCTTCAGCATCGCCATTCGTCAGTACACACGGCGGTCCGTCAAGGCATGCCAAACGAGCCAACACACCGACACCACTCACATTCGAGGTCGTCGGTAACTCTGGTGTATCTGCACAGATGATGTATAACCCGGGTGTCGGGCCATGGGTATACATTCTCGACAAGACGGAGAACAACCCAATGAACGTTACCGGTCAGTATGGTACACACGCCGCTTGGGGAACCAAATACAACTGGCAGACAAATGAAGTCGAAGCTATGGACGTCGACAGTAATACATTTTGCGCCGGCGGTGCACCTCTGGCGAACGGTACCTGGGTCATCTTTGGTGGTAATCAGCCAGTGACGACAGGTGGAATAGCCACGACAGACCAAGCCGCTTACAAGGACACCGACGGTGGAACTGCTATCAGGATGCTCTCTCCCGATATTGCAGGCAAGGCCGAATATATACAGGGTAGTCAACCGTTCAACAAGGCTGAAGGTGACACTGGTGGATGGCTGCAAATGACGGGTCGACGTTGGTACCCGACGATCGAACCCCTGGAAGACGGTAGTCTTATCGTTATTGGTGGTGACAAGAACGGAGGTGAGTAGTCTAGCACTGCTACGACTGGTTCCATGGCTGACCCCGTGTCTTGTTCAGGTTACGTCAATACTGTCGCACAAGACAATCCGACCATCGAATTCTTCCCGCCCAAGGGCGATGGCAACGCTGTCAGCCTCCCCTGGCTGTCGGAAACTCTTCCCGTAAACCTATACGCTTTGACCTGGATGCTGCCCTCTGGCAACCTCTTTATGCAAGCGAACCGATCGACTATTCTGTACGACTGGCACAACGACAACTACACGTACCTTGCAGACATGCCTTATGCTGTTCGAGTCTACCCGGCATCAGCAGCTACTGCCATGATGCCCCTTACACCGGCCAACAACTACAAGGCCACCATCCTCTTCTGCGGTGGTTCCAATCCACCACAATGGGGTGACGATGGAAGTTCGCGATACAACGTCACCGCCATTCCGGCCGACAACACGTGTGTCCGAATCTCTCCAGACGATGCCAACCCCAAGTACGAAGACGATGATTTCTTGCACCAAGGACGATCTATGGGATCGTTTGCCTACCTTCCTGATGGAACCCTATGGATGGGTAACGGTGTCGCCATGGGAACGGCTGGTTACGGTGATGACATGTGGAGCGTTGGAGAGTCTTACGGACAAGCACCGATCTACACACCGGGCCTATACGATCCGTCAAAACCCAAGGGCTTCAGGTGGTCGTTTGATTTGGCTGCTTCCAAAGAGGAACGCATGTACCATTCGACCGTGGTCTTGCTCTCCGATGGCAGTTTGATGATCTCTGGTTCCAACGTGAGTCTGCCGATGTGATGCTTACCTAGCTTGTGCTGATACTTGTCGTCACCCAGCCCAACAAGGATTACACAACCGCTCAGTGGGGCACGAAGTACACTGTCGAACGATGGTATCCTTCTTGGTTCAACGAAGAGCGACCCGGTACCGCTGGATTCCCCTCGACCTTGAACTATGGCGGTAGCTACTGGGACATCAAGTTGAACACCACCGACGAAGCTATTGTCAAGTCGGCCAAGGTTAACGTCGTACGAGGCGGTTTCTCCACCCACGCCATGTCTATGGGCCAACGATTCTTGGAGCTGTCGACATCCTACACCATTGATACCGACACCAACATTACCACCCTCCACGTTAGCCAGATGCCTCCCAACCCTGCGCTCTTCCAACCCGGTCCTGCCATGATGTTCTTGGTTCTGGACGGTGTACCATCTTGGGGTGAATACGTTATTGTTGGCTCAGGTTCCATCGGCAAGCAACCTACCGCAGCCGCCCAAACTTTACCAGGCAGCAGCGTCCTCGTCACAGCACCCAGCGTCGTTGCTTCGGCGACCGAAAGCTCACAGACTGTCTCATCGACAAGTGTTTCACAAAACGTCAAAAGCGGAGCGCTCAGCACGGCTGTCTCATCGCGGATGGTCGTGAGCACAGTGCTAGGCCTTTGTATACTGTCGTTTTGGGCATAACCTTAGTAGCTTGAAGAGAAAGATAGATGAATATATGCTTCATTGAATGATATAGCTCTGTGCGTGATTACCACTGTTGCATTTGAAGCCTTGAGCTGTGATGACATTAATGAAGACCGTCTTTTACATATTCGAGAAACGGATCAGTCTAGTTGTCATACTGAAGCGCTGTCCATTTTTGCGACGTCCGCCTGGCGGGACCTGGAGACGGAACTGGGCGATCGCAGACTGCCCATGCAGTATATTCTCAGTGGTGCCGTTAATGGTACTAGTGCCGACACCCCGTTCATGTTGCGTGGTTGGTTGCACTCATGGACCGCGTATGTGTGCGACGGGTCGCGTAAGCGCAGTGGATAGTCCTGTGGAGAGGCTGGCACCACGCCAAACACGAGTACGACGATGCAGGCATCGTAGTAATGGGTACCGGTTTCTCGAATGACGGATGAGGTGGGGGTTCAGCGACATCAGTTTTTAGCTGGGTTTAATGCAGAATGGCAGCGGGAGCGAAAAGACGCTTAACCTGTTGCGTAGCCGACTTGGTGATTCGTGGACGACGGAAGAGTGCAGCCTGTACAGAGGCAACGAATTGTGAGGCTCCTCATCCCCTACGCCACTAAACCATACTAGAGTAGAGATGAAACGTCCGCATTTGCCGGTCTCGAGTGACCACCGACCACGCATGCTTCATCGCACCAGATAATCGTCATAAAATTTTGAGGATAACAGCCAGCGGCGCTAGAGTGCAACAGGTCCAGAGGGTTAAAGGGATATGGATAGGCAAATATATGATATCAGCAAAGAAACTGGCTTGATTGGGGCTAGTTGGGGCTAGTTGGGGCTTTCTACTGACAACGAACGTCAACGCGTCTCATGACGGTGAAGTGTCCAACCTCGAGTGCATGTCCTTCCTCACGCGTCTCAAAACCAAGCTGTTATCATCCTCGAACGTTCAAAGGAGACTGTCGTACGGGAAGGACGGAAGGGGTGAAAAGGCAGCTTGTAAGAGTATTGTCTGATTTGACAAAGGCAACAGGTAGACATCGAAGCCTGATTAGCGCAGTGGTAGCGCGTGACACTTCTATTACCCAGAAATGTCGAGGCCGCGGGTTCGACCCCCGCATCGGGTTTTTTGCCTTTTTTGCGAGCTTTGAGCTTTGTGCAATTTACGAAGACCGCACAATCTTCAAGCTTCAAGGGTGTTGCCGAGCAGCTCTCGAGAGCTGCTTTCTTATTGGAAGAGTGCGTTTGCGTAGATCAGTTCTGTAGTCTCGTTTTTAGCCTAGCTCTGATGACATACCGAATCGAGGCGCGTCCTCAGCGCATCAACTTTATGTTTCTTGTATCCTCGTGTCCCTGTGTGCCTACTCTATTCTGCTTCGAAGTGTTTTGTCCTGCTGTGTCCGGTCCTGGTGGTCTCCAGAACGAGACTTGCTTGTAATGAATCTTGTGGAAAATGATATAGAATACGCAGATGCAACGGTTGTACAGCGCATTTTTGTCCTTGCCATGTTTGCTTCCTGGCGAAAGCTCAGCCTCTGCAACCTGATATTCATCGGCAGAAGCTTTTGGCAATTCGGCAGCGGAAGATTTATGGCAACACGGGCCACGGCGGTCTTTCTTCATCAACAATCAACACCGTTCCGTGTTGCGTGATGCGTCAGTATTCAGTAACAGCCGTTATGCGGATGCATTTGATTCCTTTCAAATGCGTCATCATTACTGCCGACAGAGCAACGTGTTTTACTATTAGACAATAACCTCCACGGTGCGCCAGTGAACTCTCCTCAATCTCAAATGGCAGGTCCAAAGGGGACAGTGAGCCCCTGCAGACATATTTTCTCGAACAAGTGGAAGCTGACTTCTGCGCCAACTTCGCCGTCTCCGAAGCCGCCTTGCCCTTTCCAGTAGCTCGCCCAGTCTCCTGGCTTCTTCTCTTCCTAGTTCCTACCAAGCCGAGTTGAATGCTGGCGTGAGACCGTACTCCTGGTTATCCCTATGTAGACCACTGCCAATCGTCTCCCTCTTGGTACGACTCTCTTCTACGCTGTACTTTACACTGGGGCTGTACTAAGAGGAGCGAATTCGCAAGTACGGCAATTGAAGTAAGTGAAGACTGTGAAGTAAGTGCAACGAAGTCCAACTTCTTCAGCTCTTGCTACTTCAGCTACTTTGCCTTTCCTGCTTGGTGGAGAGATACGGCACGTTCTACTGAGCTTCTTCCTGTGAACCTGTGAAGTCTTCGGCCTCATCTTAGCGCACACTTCGTCGAGAAGTCTCTGGTCATCAAAACTTCGCCATGCAGTCCTTTCCATCGAGACATCATCGCGAAGTGTATTCTCCTCCAGGATTCGCCGTGAAGGGCTTTTCCACAAAGACTTCGTGAAGAAGACTTCTGTCACTTCTCCATGAAAGCTCAGCAACAACAGCCCTCGTAGTTAGTCTCAATTTAGTATACATAGCTGACACTTTGCCTCTTTCGTAATAACGTTCATGCATTATGATTCATCCTTTGACTACTGTAGAGTGCTATGCCTTCAGCTAAGCCGCGCTAATATGACTTATAACTATTTGGATACTAGGTGCCAAATATTACACGTCATTCAAACTCCAAAATGGAATTCGCGGGACTTAGGGGCAAACTACGAGTTTTCCCGGTTCTACACAGTTGGTATTTAATACTCACCTGTCTTGTTGACTACCAGTCAATGTCTTTTAATTCTAAGTCCAAAGAGGTAGCTATCCTTATTGAAGTTGAACGAAAGCAAGCATTGAATATTGAAGTACTACTTTGCGTGTTTTCATTAGTCTAGTGGCAAATACAACTCACAGCCAGAAAGGCTGGTATTTATAGTTATTTATTACTCTAACGAAAGATTTGCCACCATGATTTACAGTCATAGCTTGTTCTGATCGACTTGTTGGTCGACTTGTTGATCACCCTTTCGGCAAAGGGTTGATCACAGAGGTGGTCGTTTTGTTGGTCAAGCATTCATCGAACGAATAATTATAAGTCAAAAAATATGGCTGACTAATAAATATGGCGAGAGTTGGGAAAAGGAAGTTGGCGCAAGATAAGAAAAGGCGCGTATCATAACAGTACCCTCCGCTCCAATCAGACTCGACCCGAGTCTCGAAGCTGTTGCCAACGTCGAATCCATTCTCGAGTGGGCAAGTGTTGATACATGATAGCTTGATAGAAGCCTTGAGGCTCACACGCGCTGATGTATCTTCGGACATGGTGTGGCCGGATAGACTTTCGACATCCCCAGTATTCCCACAAGGTATGATCGACTCCCGCATAATATTCCGCAAGATACTCAGCTGACCCATTCTTTGGACCGTTCTTTAGGTTGACCGTATAGGTGCAGATGCCCGACGTTCGGTTCCAGTCGTGCCTAGTGATATTGGCCATCAACAAGTACGGTTTGTTACCAAGTAGGCCGTCGTTTCGGATTGCTTGTTTAACCTCTGCCATTCTAACAGTGCGACCGTAGACTCGTGCAGGTTGCTCCAAGTCAACGAAGCGGTTGACGTGGTTGTGCAGAATCTCTTCTCGGAAAAGAACCACGAGGTGTGCTCTTTCTTTCGCTGTTTTGGGTACTGATAACACTCGTCGTTCTTGGTTTACAGCGACTCGGATTCTTCTTCGTCGTTGGGGCTGCCATGACTGTGCGTTGCCCGTAGAGACGTCCGCGAAGAGAATGGCTGAGCCGGATGAGTGTGATACAGGCCTAGCAACAGCTGTTGGAGAAGCAGCATGCGTGTGAGTACGGTTGTACCCCTTGTCCATGGCACGCGAGGAACATTTACCTTGTTCCCTGTGTGTCTGCATGTGGTTGACAGCTACGGCTGTTGCAGCGATATGCGATGGACCGGGTACATGGTCGGCATGCTCGTTCGCCTTACTTTGTAGAACTGCATGGTGAGTAGCAGGTCCTGGATACGCGTGTGCACGAGCGTCACCGTCATCTCTCTCTGCTTCTTTTTCCAGATAACGCATGGCTTCGGCGAGTCGCTGTCGCTTGGCTTCTTCTTGGTTGTCGAGGATATCAAGTGGTATGTAAGGACTGCATAGTTCTGCACGAGTAGGTTCCCGTACTAATCTGGCATGATTGAGGATGAACCAGTGACTGGGAGGGAGATCATCGAGCAGGTCTTGGTGAGCCTGAGGAGGCCATTGAAGAGCTTGTTGTGCGGACATCGTGTTGTCAGTGTGTAAGTCCACGTTCACCTGGATCTGAGTCTTTATCACTGTCTTTTACCTGAGCTGATAGAAGGTTGGATTGCTTATATAGACAAACAATAGCCAAGACGCTTCGCGTAGCTGCTGTTGTGCTGCTGTCATATTGCCTGTCTTGTTGCTGCTCGCGGTACGTCAGCAGCTGTAGTTGGTACAGACGTCAGCGGCTGATCAGTTGTGCGACCAGCAGGTTGATCAACGATAGTTGCGGATGGACGTTGTCGAGGGAACGAGCTTTTAACACTGTCCGAATGCCAAGGGAGCCCACAAGCCCGCCGCAGGTGATTTTTTTGACACTTTTTACGGACGTATTAGACGTTTTAATCAGTTTTTTCGTCCGATATATGTAGTAACCGGTAGTTATCTGGGTGGACAGCTCAAGTGTTGAGGTCGATAAATTCGGTACCTTGTGAAATGTGCTGAAGTGATTTCCAGCATACAGTTTACATGACTTTGTCAGGAGTGTCTGTAGCGTGTGATTCAGCTGACGTAGTGATGTGGATCGTGAGAACTGCTGACGTGTTGAATGCGACAATGTCAGCAGTCAGGAGCGTCTTATCCAGCGGCAGTGCCGTCATCGTAAAGAGACCTCTGGCACGATGTGCGTATTTGACGCACGTTATGTACGGGTGATATTGTTTTGTGTAGTTATCGTCTTTTTCGGAGAAAGCCGTCTTGCTCTGATTGCGCTAAGGGCAAGGCGTCATTACCAGTTCGGATGGCATAGTGGGTGGAACGGTGCTCAAGGGGACGCCAATAAGAATTGAAGCTCGGTGACCCGAGTTCAACTTTTGTCGACCTTTTCTTTTTGCTTCGGATGAGTACTTTTGTGCTTTTTCCAGTACTCAGCAACGGCTTCTTTTGCACCTTCGAGGTTCTCTTCAGGCTGCCAGGAGTCTTCCCAAGGAGGGTAACCTAGCCAAGAGACGAGGTATTCTAGAGCTCCTCTTTTAGTGTGGCGGTGATCTTTGATGCTCTCGATTTCATACTCAGGTTCATCGTGCAATGAACTAGTAATCGGTTCGGGTGCTGGTACCTCTCTAGAGCTGAAACGCTCAGGTGTTTCGTGGAAGTCCTTAAGGTATTCAAGATTAATAACAGGATGTGCCTTGATAGTGTCGGGTAGCTCAAGTTCCTAGCAGGTGGGACTGATACGTCGAAGAACCTTGAAAGGTCCGACATACTTCGCTTTCAGTTTGCGACTACCAGAGCCTTTCAGAAAGGGTGGATTGACAAACTTGGTGCTCAACATAACAAGATCACCTTCTTGGTATGTTGTTGGTCTGGGTCGTCCTTTGTTAACACTACTAGCTTGTGTCTGTCTAGTTTTCTCCAGGCACTCATGAGCTGCGGTCTGGCGAGCCTGCAATGTCTCAATGAAGTCGGTGGTTGTCTGTACTTCGTAGGCGGAGTCAGACAGACAAGCGTATAGTCCTCTTGGATGGTATCCAAGATCCAATTCAAACGGCGTCATCTTGGTAGACGGGTGAACAGAGTTGTTGTAAGCAAACTCTATTGCTGTCAGATGTTCAACCCAGTCGATCTGTTTGTGATTTACGACCGAGCGAAGCATTTCCTTTACTGTCCTGACCATGCGCTCAGACTGTCCGTCCGTTTGAGGATGGTATGCAGTTGACAGGGCGAGCTTTGTACCGAAACGTCCGAAAAGCGTCTTCCAGAAGGAGGAAGTGAACTTGACGTCTCGATCGGATACTATGACAGCAGGAAGCCCGTGAAGTCGGACGATGCTGTCAAAGAAACGTTTTGCGGTGTCCGGAGCGCCATCGGTACTCTTCGTTGGGACTAGGTGACATCGCTTGGAAAGTTTGTCGACAACAAGCATGATCATGTCCCACTTTCCTTCGCCAGAAACAGCAAGAGGTCCGG